CTAAGAATAATGTACAAGATACGTTTTTAGGCATTGTTATAGTAATGGCAAATGGAAGCAGAGGACAAAAAGGCCCAATAGCTACAAGACAGGACATAACGCAGATGGCAAAATGTCGTTAAGAACATGTTTAAGATCCTGCTGAGGAGGAAAGAGCAGAATCTGACATTAATTCCTCATGATCCTAATTATGCAAATTTATATGCAACAGGATGGTAGGAAATTAGGCAAAACATGAAAAATATTAACCATAAACTCTGGATTGTATGTTTGTCGGCGGCGGTGATTTCCATGTTTTATGCTTTTTGAAAATTTAAAAATTTTATAAAGTGTGGATTTGTTTTTCTAACTTGGAATATTATTAAAACAAATAACTAAATCCAACAATCTTTTCTTAGTTTGCACTCATCAGTTTTTCTGTATCCTGCCTGTTTTGTTTCTTTTAAAATTCTCCCTTCCACTTTTCCCAATTCTTTTTATCCTAAAAACAGACCACGACAAAGAGTTCTTCCTCTAGTCCTCTTCTTATCCTTCTGGGAAATCACTATCAATTTCTTCTCTTCTGTATTTCTCAAATTTGGATAGACAATCCACCTGCATCTCTAGCCATCATGTCTGAACTCTCTCTCTTCCATTCTGGCCCACTCACACCTTCCTTCCTCACTTCCTGGATGTGGACCAGGCAGGGGTTGGTTCCATTGTGCAAAGCATCAAGACCAGTTGGAGCCAACTTGATGGCTCCCAACAGCCACATTCACCTGGCTTTCACTGGCTGCTTACTGTATACGAGAGAATGGGCTAGGGTCCAAGGGAAACTACTAGTTTTTCACTATAATTTTTCTACTCATTAACTTCAAGCCTTAGAATCACCCTTGGCTGCTTCAGTCATGCATTCTTCCTGACAGTTAGTAGGTGCTACATGCTGTATAAGAATTTGACGTCAGAAACATCTTTCAATTTCATGCCCACACCTAGTATTCTCTTGTGCTCTTTATTCTTTCCTGGATTACCCTCCCAATATATCCTGTTGAAATAGATAAATCCTTACATGTCAATTGTACAAAGGGTCAAATGTGGCCCCATCATATGTGACTATCCAACAGCATTCATGGACAACCCCCTCTCTCCCACGTCTACACTCTGGAATATAAATGAGACCAGGCTATGCTTCCCCCCAGGTTGGCTTGCTTTGGCCCCTTTTCTAATGCTGTGTGTTCTTCCTGGGGCTTTCTCATGCTTCATCTCCCCCTTGAATAGGCCCATTCACTCCCAAGAGCCACCTTAAAAGACTCATATTTCTTCTTGAGCCCTTTCCTAGTTATTAGTAACCCTGCCCTCCAATGGATCCCCATAAGAAATTGTTCATTCTCTCTTATGCTACCAATAAGCCTTGATGTTATTGGCTTGTCTTCTTTTACAACTTCTAACTGAGCTGTTGTCTACTATTTTGAAAGTGCGATTTGTGTAATGGCTAGTATCCTCGGTGATGTTGCTGGGTTCATGGGTTATACTTAAGGTCAGAGGTGGTATGTTCACACTGCTCATGACATTCTGCCCTGCATGCTCATTGATGTTGGCCTTGTTGAACTTTTATCTGGAATTATTTTTATTTAAAAAAACGCTATCAGTGAACCATTTAGCCCTGGCATTCTGCAGTTTATTATATCTAATAGGCTATGTGCCTAAGTAATAAACCACTTAATAACATTACCTCAGTGTAATGGCATAGAAATTACTTAATGAATTCAATAGTTTTAAAAATGCCCTAATTTTTCACTGACTTTCCTCTTTAGAGAAAAAAGTTCTTCAGGGTAAGTATTAAGATATGTAAAAAATTATAAAACATGTCAAAGTTGAATATCATAGTTTAAATATTTGAGACCATATTCAGGACTACCTAATAGAAATGTTGTTTTAACCTGGGTGTATAGCATATGCATAAATAAGACAATAATGCAATGATTACGTAATAAAAATGATGCTAGTTGGCAGTGGTCAATATGAAGTACCTGCATCCTGCTGGCACAGAGGGTAAGCATTCAGCTGTAGCCCAAAGGTCAGCCATTCAAACCTAGCAGCCACTCTGCAGGGTAAGGAAGTGGCAGACTATTTCTGTAGAGACTAAAGCCTTAAAAATCCTACAGAGCAGCTCTACTCTGTCCACTAGCATCTCCGTGAGGCCAAATGGCCTTGAGAACACGAGCTTGGTTTGGACAATACGAAGAACTCTGTGGTCAGACACGGTTTGACTGGTTTGAGCAGATTGATGTCACAGTTCAATCACCTAGAAATGGAAACCATGTTATATCCCAGGACTTTAAGAGAGTTAAATGAGATAAAGTATGCTACGGGCTGAGGATAAACAATGGCACATAATTAATGGCACAAAAGGGAGTTTTATTTTTAATAAAGGTAAGTGACATAAAATCAAAGCATTTTCTAGAGCTACTATGATTTTAGAAGCTACTTGACAGGCTCCTTCATTATGTATATTGTTAAATCTCTTGCTACTCATTATGTACTGTAAGTATGACATCATTTCTAATATTAAATTTATAGGAAGAGCCAAAAAGAAAAATAACCTCCTCTTTGTGCTGCAGCAAAGTCTTGGCTAACGGCATGGAGCGCAATAAACAATGTCAAGACCACGAGGAGCACATAGGGAGCGTCCATAAAGCAAAACTCATGCTGCAATTTGGCATCCTCCCCTAGCGGATGAAAGAGAAAACGCATTTCAAAATTCTTCCCTCCCCAATCAAATCAAGAAATGTCCTTCCCCACAGAGCCCAGAGACAGAAGGACAGTCTATTTTTCTACCTAGAATTAATTATCCATTAGAGCGATATAAGTGAACATTTTCAGTACCCCATCCTCCTCAAAAAAAAGTACCCAATATCTGTTTTGTACTCTTTGTACTATGTTGTAAAGGGTAAAATGGTGATGAGTTTATTTCTCTATTGATAAGTTAATGAAACGTTTATTGAGCTTCTACTATAGTCCAGGCCCTACGCTATGTGCTGAAGATGTAAGGGGAAAAAATGAGGCAAGGAATTCACTAAGCTCAAGATGATGAGCAGAAAAGGTAAGAGAAAGAGCTTGGCTTTCTTGAGGGCTCAAGGGTCAAATTCTCTCTGGGGTTGACTTCCCACAGCCTTAAGTTAAATTCAAATGGCCCCCTAAATTCAAACAGTGACAACCAAGAGGCTTGTTTGTGAGGTCATACGCCTTTCTCCATTACCTAAACAAATCACAGACTGAACTCGTTGCTATGGGTAACGGACCGAGCATACCGCTCAATTACAATTTCACGATTTTCTTATTCATATACATACTAACGTTTCCCAAGTAATATAATTGGTTTCAGAATGAATCTGAAGGTTAGGAAATGGATTTTCAGAGGAAATAATTGTTGTTTCGATTTAGTTAGGAGGAAAAATACCAAAGGGATTTCTTTACACAACGGGAAAGGTTTTCTCTTTCTCTAGTGAGCCCTGAAGAGAAAAGAGAAAATTCCCCAGAGTTTGACAATACCCAAAAGGAATGGTAAGGTCCTCTTTAGGGATTTCATACTTGATTCCCACAGGTCTAATTTCTGAGGAAAGATGCAATGTATTTCGTGTGTCTCTGTGAGACCAGTACAGTGGAATTTGTTCAGTATCTGAAACAATGCCATTTCCTTTTCCAGAGCACTCTGAGTTGTTTTACAAAATTCAGCACCCTCTGGCGTCAAAGTCATCTGTGAGGCTGCCTGCACTGGGAGGCTGGGAGGCTGGAGCCCGCACCACGGCTCCCTCCCCCAGTCACTACCCACAGCGCCAAGGCGCTTAATAAGTGCTTCTGGAATGAATAAATTAAGGTCCTCATAATTACACGTTGTAGAGAAAATTAAACAAGGATAATGCATTCGTCTCCTTCAACTGCTACAAATATTCACCCTCACAGGTGCACACTTACACAGTTCTAGTATTCAGGGCCAGTAGTTGAACATGAATCATTTTTAAGCATATACTTTAAAAAATCAAATTGTATTACCCAAACTATTCTTGATGAATCCTCTTGAAGGGACATACTATATGGATGCTAGGGAAAGTTTTAAACAATAGCACTGAAATTGTATTCTATAGATTAAAATGTATTTTAAGGCAGAAAATGTATTCTATAGTTTAAAAGCAAATGACACATTTCTGTTTTACTGATATGAGTATATATGACCATCAAAAGATCATCTTAAAAATAAGAAGCACTAGCCATAGTCAGCCATCCACCTGGGTTTGTTGAAAATTAATGGTTTTCATGTCAGGCAAAAGGCCCAGGATTAGTAGACCCAACTGCTACCATGACAAGATAAAAGATTAATTTCTTATACTGTTGATGTAAAAAAGCAAAAGTATATCCATTTTTAAATATGCCTAACATCCTTGATCTTTTAAAACATCAATTTCTAAAAATTAAGACATCAATAAAGAAGGTACAATGTCTTATTTGCAGAAATCCAACAATACTGAGTCATTCCGGGGTTTTTCTCTCTAGCATTCATTCTACCTGGGAGAGACAAACCATCTCACTTAACCATTTTTCAAAAACCACTTATCCACACCGATCCTTAGGTAAAATTATTACTTAGCATCTTTCTCTTAAATTCAAATTATTTTGATTTTAATTAGGTTTTGGAATGTTTATCAAGGTATAGAATTTTGGATTTCTTTTTGGCTGGTACAACATGGTACAATACTATAAGAATAAACCTTGCATATTGATATTTGTGAATAACTCGCAACACGTGCAAATAAAAATATACAAAAGAACACAGACATTCTCTAATCAAAACAGCCATCGAACATGGTATTCACAGCATAGGAAATCTTACATGCCATGAACAGTGAGGAGCCACCTCTGCTTAAGAACCAAATACCAACTACAGATCAATTTAAATGAAAGCATTCTGCTTCTTTGCTGGCTTTTCATTTAACATTTAAACATCCAAACAAAACATATGGTACCTTTTAATTTTCTGAATGAATAGTTCCCAATCAATGCTTCCTTGGTTAGAGACAAGCTGAAGAATCTACTGAAACAGAACAAAAGAAAAAAGAAAGATATATACATATATATATATATATAGAGAGAGATTTGTTAGCTAAATATTGAAAATGGTCACTCACCAGCAAGCACACGCAGGCTTTAAATCCTGATAATAAAGCTATGCCTCCAGATCGCTAGTCTAAAAAAATGCAGTACTGGATTTTGGGAGGGGTGGTGGTGGTGGTGGGGGGTGGACAGAGCGCTCAATAACCAATTTTACAGCATCTTACTCGGAAATAGAATAAAGCAAATCCTTTTGGGGGAAAGAAAACAGTCAAAAGGAAAGAAAACAAAGAAACCCAAAGCATTACCAGCACGGCCGCAGCGCTGCCACCCAGCCTAGCCTGTGAGGTCTGCAGCGGCTGAGAGGAGCCAGCGCATTATCCTCCCCGGACTGCGCCCTCGCCCTCGCTCCAGACAGACGCAGGCTGCAAGCCACCAGCTTCTGTCTGTGGGTGTCGGGAAAGGGAAGCAGCAAATTAGAAAACGTCCCCGCAGTGGCGAAAAGGAAAATAAGGCGAGTGGGAGCAGGAGAGAGAGCTCACAGCTTCAGAATGTTCGAGAATGATGACAAGCCACCCAGCTCCGCCATCACTCACTGACAATAGGATGCCGCGTTGGCTTATGATTTAGCGGTTTGTCATAGAGCCTTCTGATATCAAATGCCTGACAGGCATTTTAATTGCTTCCATCCAAGTGTGTCCCCAGGAACTGAGCCTATAAGTCTATGAATGTCATCATCTGGCCTCCTTTGTGTTTATGCCAGATACACACACACACAGAGAGAGAGAGAGAGAGAGAGAGAGAGAGAGAGAGAGAGAGAGAGATTAAATGGAAAGATAGTTTTCAGGCAGCTAGGATTACAAATGTTAAGTTCGGCTACTCTAACTGGACATGACAAAATGGTAGTGGGTGGGAAATTGCACTGTCTGCATTAAGAACAACAGTGTTGCTTTGAAGCTTTGTCCCTGGCAGATAATCACAGTGTTTTTAAGACTGACTAGTGGACATTGTTTTATTTGGATTTCAAAATAAACAAATGGGCTCATTTGAGAAATGTCATTAAGTACGTACATTCTCCTATGGAAAATTTGATGTCCTTGGCACGGTGATCATTCTGCCTTTGACAACGTTTTCTTTACAAGGGAGAAGGCAGAAAGACGACGAAGAGAATTAGGAAACCAGGCTGGTGTGTGGTTTCTGCGGGCAATCTACTTCATTCCATCCATACACAAATGCAAAAGGGAGGTGGTGATGCGCCTGAGCGCTGGAGTTCCGCGGTCCCCGAGGACGAGGACAAGGAGTTGAATCTGGCCTCATCAGTATTAGCAACTGAAACGAACAGTTAAAGAGCCCTGTTTCACAGTGCCCTTTGTGTAGGGAGGTTAACTGAAGAATAATTCCCTCCATTCGTTTTCTGGGTCAAAAAAAGGATGGGGAGGGGGCTGTAATAAAATCATTTCTATGGCATTGTTAGCTCCCTGCATTAGGAAATGAAGCAAAACCCGATGTGTACCAAAAGGGCCAGCTGTGAAGACGGCTGCCGGGAGGGAGCATCACCATGGTTACCAGAAGGAGAAAGTAGCAAGAACAAAATAAGGTAAAGAGAGAGGAGACCAGACTACAGCGGGGAAATGTGGCGACTGATGACTGAGAGGTTCCTTCTTTACTTTCTTGAATCAAAAAGCAAAAACCAAATTGTCTCTACCACCTTTTTACTGGTTTCTCTGTATCACGATGGATCTGCCTCTGCCATCTGCTAATTTTGCCTTCATAAATATTCAAATGGTGGTTCTTTTGAGTGTGATGGACGCTGCTGCTTCAGCCTCTGTCCACCACACACCTGGAGTCATTGAGACCACTCTGGAGCCCACACCGATAGCTTCATAGCGGAGAAAGTGGCGGCCCAGGGAATTTGAGCAAGGTCAAAAAGGGGTCCAGGGACCCAGCAACAGAGGCCCAAGACTTCCTGATACAAGAACCCACTTCCCTTCTCTCACCAACTGGCTATCTTTTCCCATTCTTTCCCATTCTGTGTGTAAGCAAAATAGATTTCAGAAATATCCTTGGGCTTTTATTGTGCTAAGACTTCTTTTTTTTTTTAATCATTTTATTGGGGCTCATACAATTCATCACAATACATGGATCAATTGTGTAAAGCACACCTATACACTTGTTGCCTTTATCATTCTCAAAATTCACCTTCCTCTTGGGTTCCT